CATGCTAGAAACTGCTCACAGACATTGCTGAGATGGAGCAGATCATACCCTCATAGCCTAGTCACCCCCAACATAGCCTGGATGTTTGCCATATCTAATCCCTTGAGACAAATGAATCCACACACAGTACTGTTACTGAGACTGCCAGGAAGAACCCACTGGCCCCTGTTATGCTCTAGATATGGAGTGCCTGCAGGAGGGCCCCTGTGTAATGGTATGGCAGGTTACTCAGATGAAACCAGAAGTGTGGATTGAGTTAAATCAACATTTGTGCCTCTGTTGGACATTGTGTGCACTAATGTGGATACTTTTAGTGACTGCTATCAGGGAAGAGTGGGAGAGAGAGGGAAGGAAGGAGGGGGAGAGGTGGAGAGGGAGTCTATCAGTCTGAGAGGTTGCTCTTTGGGCCCACTTATACACATTTCCGTGAACACATTTCAAAACTGCTGGGTGGTGCCTGCAGTGTTACATCTCTTACTTAGATGTTTGACTGAAGACAGCCAGGAAGACTGGAGTATTGGCATGGCTGTGCTACAGATTGCTTCTGTCTCAGAGCCTGATGGGCCTAAAGTGAGGTAGGTGACTGAGGGGACCTTGGGGCCATGGTGAGTTTCTATGAAAACTCCACCTCCGAAGGTCCTGGCTCCTGATTCCAAGGTACTGTATTGGTGATGTCAGGGCACTAGCACTTCTAAAGAGGACGCTGGAAGAGTGAAAAGCTCCAGGGGAGGATTCCAGGCTTCAGTGAGGATCTGCAGGTCAGGGAGGGGCTGCTCATCTCTCAAGTCATCCAACAGGAGCCACAATATGGACACTAGATAGGTGTTCTCTGTAGTCCTGGGAGGTCCTCCTGGGGCTGTAGTGTCCTTCTCTATGATATGCAGAGAAACTAAAGAATGCCAAGTTGCAAGTGTTAAAATCTAATAATTCTGCGTGGTCGTCCTCTTTCATTCTTTTCTGAGGTAATTTGTATTGATGCTGTCCACCAAAATACTAGACAGATAAAAAAACTTATTAAACATCACTAAGAAAAATAGTTATCTCAGAACTCAAAGGCTTGTTGGTGGTTACACTTCTGCCCGCCAGTATGCAAAAGCTATTGGGACTCAGCAGGACACAGCATACTTCTTAGGATGAGGAGACATTTGATCACCAGAATAGCAGCCAGAGAACAGTAACAACTATGATCATAGCTTTCCAATAACAGAAAGAAATCAAATCCATGTCAGTATTCACTGTATTGTGGTGGCATGAATTATTGGTTATCCCATATGCATTGGCTATAAGTTAGCCACTCAATTACTTGAATGAAAACCAACATATTAAATTCTGTCTCAAACTGCATTTATCTAACCAGTGAGTATGATTGAATCGTTAACCAGTGTGAGCTAATTATGAGCTTACTGTTTGCCAGGAAGGACACTTAGGAGTGAGATTGAGGGGCACAGGACTTAACCACGTTTTCCTTGAAGCCTTCTAAAACCACTGCCAAATCTTTGCAACTGCTTCTAAGAAGATGTTAAAATCCTTTCTTCTGCCCTCTGCCCCTCAAACACATGTGGTATTTAACTTTGTAGAGAAATTTGGATCAATGGCAAACTGCTCAAAAAACAGTAACATTCCTGGAATAGTTCGGTTCAAATTCAGGTTCAGTCTTCTACTTCTCCTGGGCGCGTCTGCTTCTTTTTTTTCTAGAGCTTTCAGGTGTGTTTTTAAGTCCCCAATGTATGCATTCTCCGTTTTCTTTAAGTGTGCACTTAGTGCTATGAACTTTCCTCTTAGCACTGCTTTCATTGTGTCCCATAGGTTTGAGTATGTTGTCCCTTTATTTTCATTAAATTCAAGGAAGACTTTAATTTCTTTCTTGATTTCTTCCTTGACCCAGGTGTGGTTCAGTAGTTGACTGTTCAGTTTCCATGAGTTTGTCGGTTTTTTGGGGGCAGCGTGGTTGTTGCCTTCTAACTTTAATCCGTGATGATCTGATAAGACACAGGTGGACACTGATATTTTTTTGTATCTGTGGAGGTTTCCTTTGTTACCAAGTATGTGGTCAATTTTTGAGAAGGTTCCATGAGCTGCAGAGAAGAAGGTATATTCTTTCCTATTTGGGTGGAATGTTCTATAGATGTCTGTTAAGTCCATTTGCTTCATTACCTCCAATAATTCTCTTAATTCTCTATTAGGTTTCTGTCTGATTGACCTGTCCCTTGGAGAGAGAGGTGTGTTGAAGTCTCCTACTACTAGTGTGTGTGGTTTGATGTCTGCCTTGAGTTCTAGTAATATTTCTTTTACATAAGTAGGTGCTTTTATATTGGGGGCGTATATATTCAGGATTGAGACGTCCTCCTGATGAATTGTTCCTGTTATGAGTATAAAGTGACCGTCTCGGTCTCTTCTGATTGATTTTAGTTTGAAGTCAGTTTTGTTAGAAATTAGTATGGCCACACCTGCTTTTTTCTTAGGACCATTTGCTTGAAACACCTTTTCCCAACCCTTTACTCTGAGTAGGTGCCTGTCTTTGTGGTTGAGATGTGTTTCTTGCAAACAGCAGAATGTTGGATCTTGTTTTCGTATCCAATCTTTTAGCCTGTGCCTTTTTATAGGTGAATTGAGCCCATTAATATTAAGTGATATTAATGACCAGTGGTTGTTTACTCCGGTTATTCTTATTGCTTTTGGTAGTAGAGATTGTGTGTCTCCCTTCTTTGAGATGTGCTCGAAATTGAAGAAGACACCAGAAAATGGAAAGACCTCCCTTGCTCTTGGATCGGGAGGATCAACATAGTAAAAATGGCAATTCTACCAAAAGCAATCTATAGATTCAATGCAATCCCCATCAAAATCCCATCAAAATTCTTCACAGATCTGGAGAAGACAATAATTAACTTTATATGGAAAAACAAAAAACCCAGGATAGCCAAAACAATCTTATACAATAAAGGATTGTCTGGAGGCATTACCATCCCTGACTTCAAACTCTATTACAGAGCTACAGTATTGAAAACAGCTTGGTATTGGCATAAAAACAGAGAAGTTGACCAATGGAATCGAATAGAAGACCCTGACATTAACCCACAAACCTATGAACACCTGATCTTCGATAAAGGAGCTAAAAGTATACAATGGAAAAAAGAGAGCATCTTCAACAAATGGTGCTGGCAAAACTGGATGTCAATCTGTAGAAGAATGAAAATAGATCCATATCTATCACCATGCACAAAACTCAAATCCAAATGGATTAAAGACCTCAATATCAGTCCGAACACACTGAACCTGATAGAAGAGAAAGTGGGAAGTACTCTACAGCAAATGGGCACAGGAGACCACTTCCTATGTATAACCCCAGCAGCACAGACACTAAGGGCATCATTGAATAAATGGGACTTCCTGAGGCTGAGAAGCTTCTGTAAAGCAAAGGACACTGTCACTAAGACAAAAAGACAACCCACTGACTGGGAGAAGATCTTCACCAACCCTGCAACTGACAAAGGTTTGATCTCCAAAATATATAAAGAACTCAAGAAACTAGACCGTAAAAGGCTAATCAACCCAATTATAAAATGGGGCACTGAGCTGAACAGAGAATTCTCAACAGAAGAACTTCAAATGGCCAAAAGATACTTAAGGTCATGCTCAACTTCCTTAGCGATCAGGGAAATGCAAATCAAGACAACTTTAAGATACCACCTTACACCTGTCAGAATGGCTAAAATAAAAAACACCAATGATAGCCTTTGCTGGAGAGGTTGTGGAGAAAGGGGTACACTCACCCATTGCTGGTGGGAATGCAAACTTGTGCAACCACTCTGGAAAGCAGTGTTTCGGTTTCTCAGGAAATTCGGGATCAACCTACCCCTGGATCCAGCAATACCACTCTTGGGAATATACCCAAGAGAGGCCCTATCATACAACAAAAGTATATGCTCAACTATGTTCATGGCAGCATTGTTTGTAATAGCCAGAACCTGGAAACAACCTAGATGCCCTTCAACGGAAGAATGGATGAAGAAAGTATGGAATATATACATATTAGAGTATTACTCAGCAGTAAAAAACAAGGACTTCTTGAATTTTGCATACAAATGGATGGAAATAGAAAACACTATCCTGAGTGAGGTAAGCCAGACCCAAAAAGAGGAACATGGGATGTACTCACTCATATTTGGTTTCTAGCCATAAATAAAGGACATTGAGCTTATAATTCATGTTCCTAGGGAAGCTAAATAAGGCGAATCCAAAGACAAACACATAGGCATCCTCAGGAATATTAACCTTCATCAGGCGATGAAAGGAGACAGAGACAGAGACCCACACGGGAGCACCGGACAGAAATCTCAAGGTCCAAATCAGGAGCAGAAGGAGACGGAGCACGAGCAAGGAACTCAGGACCACGAGGGGTGCACCCACACACTAAGACAATGGGGATGTTCTATTGGGATCTCACCAAGGCCAGCTGGCCTAGGTCTGAAAAAGCATGGGATAAATCCGGACTAGCTGAACATAGCGGACAATGAGGAATACTGAGAATTCAAGAACAATTGCAGTGGGTTTTTGATCCTACTGCACGTACTGGCTTTGTGGGAGCCTAGGCAGTTTGAATGCTCACCTTACGAGACCTGGATAGAGGTGGGCAGTCCTTGGGCTTCCCACAGGTCAGGGAACCCTGATTGCTCTTCGAGCAGATGAGGGGGGGGGGACTTGATCGGGGGGAGGGGGAGGGAAATGGGAAGCGGTTGTGGAGACGAGGCAGAAATCCTTAATAAATAAATAAATTAAAAAAAAAAAATTCAGGTTCAGAACTGAATGCTGCTTCTTGGATGCTCTCTCTTCTTTGGTATTCCCAGGTATTAAATTTGTTTCACCTTTTTATCAACTAAAACAATAAAAGAAGCAAACTGTCACACCTGTCTCCCCAGAGCTCAGGGTTCTGTCGTGCCCTGGTGGAATTTTGAGCTGTGATATGGTAGTATTTGTTAACACATGGTCTGTGCTTTCTCTAGGCCGAGTGCAGATGCTGCCGCAGGCTGTGTGCCTCCTGCATGCCCTTCTGGAGAACGGACACACTGTGTACGTCCACTGCAACGCTGGGGTGGGCCGCTCCACAGCTGCAGTGTGCGGCTGGCTCCACTACGTGATTGGCTGGAGTCTGCGGAAGGTGCAGTACTTCATCATGGCCAAGAGGCCTGCGGTCTACATTGATGAAGACGCCTTGGCCCGGGCACAGGAAGACTTTTTCCAGAAGTTTGGGAAGGTTCACTCTTCCATATGCAGCGTCTAGGTGACCAACCTGCCAGTTGTGTGGCTAGCGGAAGACCTATAGACAAAGACCGTATCAGAACTCAGGGGACTGTAACCTCAGGTCACCTGGAGATAGCTTCTGTTGCCGTGTGGTAGGGCTTTTTGAATCTTTCTCATGTGGCATGCAGTTTCTTTATCAAATATTTCAAAGGTGTCATCTGGGCAGTACAATGTATGCCCACAGTTGCTGCCGCAACAGGCCAGGGTCTTTGGTTACAGGCCCTGCATAGGTTGTTATGGATCTGTGATGTTTTGGCATGCATAAGACAAGAGAGGGGTTATGTGGATTTTATCACAACGGTGAGTGAGGCACACACACCTCACACACACACCACACACACACACACACCACACACACACACACACACACACACCACACACACACACACCACACACACACACACCACACACACCACACACACACACACACACACACACACACACCACACACACACACACACGACATGTGCACATATGCACAAACACATGCAGTTTTTTTTTTACTCAACTGAGATTGCAGTCATTTGCTGGTGGAAGGGGTAAATAGATAAACCTTACCATGACACAGAAAGAGCTCTCCATGGGCATCAAACAGTGATTTTCTGTAATTTTCTTCATCCCATTTCAGAGCTGTTAGCATCTCCGAGACACCATCCTCCTTATTTTCTGTCTTTTCCACAGGAGTAGTTAGCCCACTGTTTTTTCTTTAAGTATATATTTTTTATTTTATAGATATATTTTTTAGTATAGAAGTATGCAGATGTACCAGGCTTTGGTTCCCCTGGAACTGGAGTCTCAAATGGTTGTGAAGCACCATGTGGGTGATGGGAACTGAACCCAGATTCCTGCAACAGCAATGGCTCGTAATCTCTGAGCCATCGCTCCAGCCCCCCTTTCTCTTGTCTTTTAATTGCTATTTTCCCCCTCAAGGCAGAGTTTGTAGTACTCAGTGTATCACAACACACAAAGGTTAGTCTTTAACTCATGCTAAACATTCTGCCCCAGTCTCCCAAGAACTGTGTATAGTCTCCCATACACAGCACCACCATTTTTCAGTGTAGGTTTATTGAGCATAACTGGCTTGCTCCAGTCTCATGGTAAATAGGAACAAGATGAAGTTTGTAATTCAACTTACTTGATTCAGTGTTCTTTTCACTGTGATTAATTTTTCAGCAGACTGTCATGGATGTAGTTTCATCTCTCTCAGGGTAAAGTTGCTACCCCCGTGGTTGTTTCTACCCTGAGAAAAGGGGCAGTGTTCTGATCACCTGCCAGAGAATTTAGAAAAACCATTTTATCCTCCTTAGCCTCCGTTAATCTATGGTGTGTGATCGCAAGGCCAATTTATATGAACCATAGTTGGTGAGTGGAAGGAGCCTGAGGAGACCATGTCCACAGATTAGTGTTGTACAGCTAGGGGCTGACATTGGTTCAATACTCAATTCAGTATAACACTCATTGCTATTCCTCCCAAACCTGTGGTTTATTCCATTACGTTTTATCAGAAGTGTAAATATCAGCAAAACTTTGTCTTTCAGTATATACAATCTAGAAACAGATCTGTCTTTCATCCTCTGGAAGACAGTCCCCAAGGACCACTGACATTTTAGGACATAGAAGGGGCCCTACCTCTAGTTGAGTGCCACTGTGTGCCGGTTGCTTTCCTATCTCTAATGCCATCACAGTTCACTCTGGGAAGGGTCATTTTCTCTGTTCAGATTGGGGAAGTGAGGCCCAGAGGGGTGAAGGAATGTGTCCATTGCCTTTGTCATTGATGGAGGCCACAAGATGAGATGCAAAGCTAGGTTCATCTCTCAAATCACACACTGTCAAGATGTGTTTCTTTCATTTCATAAGCATGTGTTCATAGATAGCAGAGATGATGATTTGCGAGGCATTTTATAAGCATGTGCTCATAGGTAGCGAGGTGGTGATTTGGGAGTCAGAGGGGACAAGAAGGCCACAACCCGGTTTCCAGTCGTGCTCAGAACAGGGAGCGATGTCTCTGCATGATGGCACCCAGAGGAGGTAGCATTGGAGAGAGAGATGTTTCAACATGACAGCAAGACCCCCAGGGGAGGTGGCATTTGCTTTGGACAGAGCACTCTACAAGAAACTTTTCTCCTATAATTACAAAGTTGAGTCTATAAACCAGCATCGAGTGATGTTCAGTCTCTTCTACAAAATATAGTTAGATGTAGCTCTTTTGACTAAGAACCAATTTCTTATGTCATGTGTATTATGTACAATTTCATTTTTAATGGAATATTTAAACTAATATAATAGTGTGTGTGTGTGTGTGTGTGTGTGTGTGTGTGTGTGTATGACTTCATGTCTTGAGAAACCCAGCTATACAAGTTCCACTGTCAATGTCCTTTTTCAGGTGGCTTTTTCTCTATGACTCTGATAAAATTGTTGAGAACTACTGACGAACATTTTAGAATGACCCCATTTGCCCTCAGTGAGTGGGTTGTCTACTGTAGCTCAAAAATCACCTGGGAGTTTTGCTAAATAAAAGCATAAAAAAGACCTTTGTGCCACAGAATTGTTTAATGCTGTCAACTTATTCTGAAATCTGAAAGAACACACTTTTTTATTTGTAAAAAGGGCATTCAGCTCAGCACAATAGCTTTTTCTTTGTTGTCCTTTCTCATTAGCCTATGAGAAAGGGTGCCTGGCAGAAGCCTGAGATGGAAGCATCACAAAGAGGTGAAGGTAAGACTCAAGAATGTTTGGGGGAGACCACAGAAGAGTGTCTCTGGTGACTATCATTAAACTCTTCCTTGGGTATGGGTATATGTGGAGTGCTGGGATGGAACCCAGGGCCTCACAAATGCTAAAGTACCCTTAACACTGAACTATACCTCCACACCAATGAAACCTCACTCAAAGAATTCTCACAGAATATCCTTAGAAAATCTCATGCTTGGCTAAGGAACACCAACATACCAAAATACTGTTACTATTGTTTAGACTCTAAACATGTCTTTTTATTTTTGTGAGCCAAAATTGGTAAAAAGAAACAAAATGAACACACACACATCATGCATATATATAAACACACATATACATACATACATACATACACACACACATATATGTATGTATTCTCTTTGTCTACTTGGCTTTTCTTAAAAAATGTGAAGAAAAACTGTAGTTAAGAGTTTGGAATGAAATGGAAATAATGAAAGAAGAGACTCACAAGTGAACTAAATGGGAATTAGAACTTTCTGTACACTGTTGATGGAAGAGGGTTATCTGTCTATCTGCTGCTTTCATTGGTTAATTAATAAAGAAACTGCTTGGCCTGATAAATCAGAACATAGGTGGGTGGAGTAGATAGAACAGAATGCTGGGAAGAAGGGCAGTGAGGCAGACACCATAGCTCTCCTCTCCGAGATGGACGCAGGTTAAGATCTTTCTTGGTAAGCCACCACCTCGTGGTGTTACACAGATTACTAAATATGGGTTAAAGCAAGATGTGAGAATTAGCCAAGAAGAGGCTAGATATAATGGGCCAGGCAGTGTTTAAAAGAATACAGTTTGTGTGTTCTTATTTCGGGTGTAAAGCTAGCCATGCACGAGCCTGGCGGTAACACAGCCCACTGCTCTCACTACACACTGTACAACAGAGGCAAGGGGGAAAGTTAAAATCAAAATTCCCATTTATAGACAATCAAATGCAGTTCCTTTATTTTATAGAGGAGAAAGCAGAGCTGAAACACCATATTATAATGAAAAGTGTTGTAACTGAGGGCCAGAGGAGACGGGTAAGTCAGGAACACAGGTAAGGTGATTGCCATGGTGTGGAGGGGTAGAGAAGGCTTAGTCCAAATGAGAAAAAGCAGTATGGAGGGGGAAGACTGGATAAAAGGATCAATGAAAATTAGGGTAAACAGAAGGCAAGACAAAGTGAGTAAAAGCAAAGCTAGGTCATATTTCTGTCTTAGTTTCTCTTGCTGTGAAGAGAGCATGGCAAAGGCAATGGATTTAGAAGATTAGGGTCCATGACCATCATAGTGGGAAGCATGGCAGGTGGCCTGGTGCTGGAGTAGTGGCTGAGAGCTCACATCTGAAAGTTGGAGGCAGGGGGCGGGGAGAGCGAGAGAGAGAGCGAGAGCAAGAGAGAGAGAGAGAGAGAGAGAGAGAGAGAGAGAGAGAGAGAGAGAACTGTGAATGGCATGGGCTTTTGAAACTTCAAAACCCACTCCAGTTACACACTTCCTCCAACCTGCTAATCCTTCTCAAGAAGTTCTACTAACTGGGAACCTAGTATTCAAATAGTTGCTTCTGTGGGAACATTCTCATTCAAACCACCACAATTTCTAAAAGGGAGAGGAAGGTGCTTTTAGGAGGAGTCAGGAAGATGGCACAACAATGGGAATGAATGGCAAGAAACGTACTGTTCTCGAGAGACAAACTAAGCATGTAGTACTTCTCCAGGCACAGACCCCATTTAGAAGAATCAGCTATAAGTAATGTTTTGATCCAGCAGTGGAAACAGTACACATCTTTTATTACCCACTAGAAAAGGAGAGAAACCTGAAAAGGCAAGCCTACATGTAAAGGGAGACATTGATGAAGCTACTTCTGTAGAAAAATAAGGACATAGATGAATATGTTCCTTTGTTTCCTAAACCATTATACCAAAAGCCTTCTCAATCTGTTTTATGAATATGTGTGTCTACCTTTCCTCACAGTAATAATACTTGAGGCTACTTTGACTAACAAATAAAGTAGAAGGTCTTTATCTCATGATTTTGGAGCCTCGAAGTTTCAAAACCATGGTGATAAGATCTGCTTGGCTTCTTAATGGGGTTTATGCCACTTAAACTCATGAAACATGACAAATGGTCACATGTGAGTCTTGAATAATAGTCATGTTGGCTAAACCATTTCTACAAGAGAGACATTAAGTATCCATCAGGACTCTGACCCCACTTCCCAATACTGATACATCAAGGGACTAAGATTTCTGGACTTGATCTTCTAGGAGACACATTAGTAGTAGGTTTGTACTCAAGTTGTGTTTGACACATATTTCCCTTTCCTTTTCAGACATCATATTTGATTTGTCAGGATGGCATGTTATATCCCTAGTATTGATACCCTGACTCTTTTATAAAACAGCTTCTCAGAGACAGTCTGGTCACATTGCTGGGTTTCAAGAATAGGTATCTATATGCAGTTCTTGATTCTGTTCCCTCTGTCTAAGTCACACACCGATGAAATCTACATTGTGGCCTGTGAGATGTCAGACCTGTGCTCAAGTTCCAATCACTGAGGGCAAAAGTTAAAGCTTCCACAGGGCCACACAATCTATATCCCTGACATCCTTCTGACCTCTTCTTTCTTCGTTCTTCTTCTGACCTTCTACTTTCTTCCAAGTTGTTTTCTCTGCTCCAACCATGCTTATTTCTTGGTATTCTTTGAATATTCTAGGCAGGTTTCAACCTCAGGACCCTCAGACTTGCTGATATCCTGACTGTGTTGTTGCTAGGCTGTGGTTTGTCTATCAGAGATTCACATGCGGGAACATGATCCTATGGATGACTATGTGGAAGAGCATCGGAACCTTTAGATGGTGGACACTATTAGATAGTAATTAGATCAGTTATGACATTGCTTTCAAGAAAGGATTAGGGCAGTTCTCATGGGACCCTTGTTTGTTTTCATGTGAGTGTTGTATAGCAAGGCCATCGACGTGCTGGCATCATTAGCACACAGTCATCCTCCTTTTCTCTCTTATACCATGTGCAACAGAGTCATGTGTGTCTTCTCCAGAGGGTGAATTTGTTGACTCCTCTGATCTGGTGTATTCAGCTTCTGAAACTGTGAGCTAAGCAAGTCTGTTTTAATTGTGAAGCACCCAGTCTCTGGAGTTGTGTTACAATAGCAGAAAACAGATTAGTAGAAACAGGAAGGCTTTCTCCAGCAATGTGTGCACTTCCCTCAATGCTGCCTACTGGGATCACTTATTTAAAGCTCCTTGACTCGACTCATCTCTCCTGATCCACAGCCACTGCATTATTTTTCTTTAAAGAACTTATGGTGGGATGGCATAATACAAGATTTGCCTACTCCTTTGTTGTTTGCATCCTCTTACTATGATGCAGACTTCATAGAGTCAGAAATTGATACCTTTTGGTGAAGTACTTTAGGCTACAGAGCCTGGCACATAGTACAACAGAGGAAGAGGAGGATGTGGGATGCCCTTCTGTATGCTGTGAATATGCCTTATTACTTTTGGTTGATAAAGAAGCTGCTTTGCCCTATAACAGGGAAGAATATAACTAGGTGGGAAAGCCTAACCGAATATAGGGAGAAAAAAGATGGAGTCAGGGAGATGCCAGCAGCTGCCGGAGAAGCAAGATGAAATGTAATAAGTCACAAGCCTTGTGGTAAAATATAAAATAATAGAAATGGGTTAATTTAAGTTACAAGAGCTAATTAACAATAAGCTTGAGGTAATAGGTCAAAGAATTGTAATTAATTTTAAGCCTCCAAATGATTATTTCATAAGTAGCTGCAGGGACTAGCGGGTGAAAGAGAAACCTCCAGTTATAGGATAACAACAATTAGTAATTATTGCAAGCATACAATGTTACAGGTATTCTCTAAGACCACACACACACACACACACACACACACACACACACACACACACCTACCTTTGATATAAACTCTAGGCATATGATGTGTGCAAGTTTGCTAGGGCAGCTATAACAATTTACATCAGACTTGGTGGTGTCAATGACTCCCATAGGGGGGAGAGAGAAAGAGAGAGAGAGAGAGAGAGAGAGAGAGAGAGAGAGAGAAGAGAGAATAGGCAGAGTCAAAGAGACATTATGTAGCTGCCAAAGGAGACAGACACACCCTTGAACCTTGCCAGAAACAACGAGCCTTGTGGTAATACACAGACTAATAGATATGGGTTAATTTAAGATGTAAGAGCTAGTTAGAAATATACTTAAGGTATTGGCCAAACAATAGTGATGTGGGAGTGTCATATATCAATCTGTTGATTTCATTGGTTAAGTAATAAACAAACTGCTTGGCCTCATAGCTTAGAACATAGGTGAGTGGAGTAAACAGAACAGAATGCTGGGAGGAAGAGGAAGTGAGCTCAGAGATTCGACAGCTCTCCTCTAGGGGGCAGATGCCTCAGAGAGACGTCATGCCCCATTCCCGGGCAGACACACGTGATGAAGCTCTGACCCAGGATGGACGTAGGCTAGAATCTTCCCGGTAAGACCGGTGCTCTCAGATTATTAGAGATGGGTTGATCGGGATATCAAAATTAGCCAGTAAGAGCTAGAGCTAAAGGGCCAAGCAGTGTTTAAATGAATACAATTTGTGTGTTGTTATTTTGGGGCATAAGCTAGCCAGGCAGCCGGGGTGCTGGGGACGCAGCCCCGCCACTCCTATTACAACACAATATTGTAATTAATATAATTTCTATGTGATTATTTGGGTCTTGGTGGCTGGGAAATGAACAAGTAGCCTCTGCCTACACTCCTTAAATTGATCTCAGCCATGAATTTTTGAGTTTGATATTAAAAGCACAGACAGTAAAAGCAAAAATTAGCAGGCAAGTCTGCACCAAGCTAAAGTTTCTGCATAGCTCAAGTTAAAAATGAGAAGGTGATCTACAGATTGGAAGGAAATATTTGGGAATCACATGTTTGACAAGAATTTGTATCCAAAATATGCAAGGAACTCAATGCAGAAGCAAAGACAAATACATATAAAATTGATAATGAATCTGAAAGACAAAAGAAGCTAACAGCCAACAGC